TCAACTGGGATTAAGATGCTTTTGACCTAGATCTTGTGATACGCGTGACCACGTGAGGGTCTAATCGATGAATTAAGACAATTAAAGAAAATATATATATCATCTCTGTCACAGCGGTCCAATCAGACTTCCATGGAGCCTTTGAACGTTTACCTTGTGGGATGGTTACTGTACTAGATATACATATATTCTCATTTTCCCACTCATATTATATAAACTAATCCAATGGAATCCAGTTCCTTGAATAATAAATATACAGTCTCTTTCTTCCTTCATATGATGTCTTTGATTTTACACAATTATTATCTCTAATTCTTGCTTGTTCAAACAAAAAATTGAATAACAACAAAATAACAGAAGCAAACAAGCAAGAAGTAAGGGATAATCAAATAAAAAAACTATTATAAAGTCAATAGCCTTAGCTTGATTAAACATCACAATTGGCTCCATTCCAAAGATTCCACCAATTGAAGTTTAAGTAGTCAAGATTAATCCTTGCACGTCAGTTTATACGACCTAAAGTATAGCCAAAAAAATTATTTTCAGAGTTGAGAAACTTTTAAATTAATTAAATAGATATCAAGAGCGTGCAGGATTGGTTCGTTTACTTCTGCAATTTGGTTTATTTGGACTGCACTCGCCTTGAAAGGCAAGCTGCCTTATATATATATATATGATTTCAAAGACAGGTTAATCACAAATTTGTTAGGTTGATACCAGACAAGTTAATAAAAATTTTGCTTCATTAGAAGAACAAATAAACATAAAGCAATTAGTCTTTAACTTTAGGAATGGTAGGCCTCTGGACTTTCTGCGTAAAATTTGGTTAAATATGCATGGACGGTTGCTCTTTATGAAAATTGTGATCAATAATGGCAGAAGGAGTTAGTTAAAAAGAAAAATCTTTCAGAGTGGTGGTTCACATGACTTTTGGGCCGTCCACATTGAGAGAATGGCTGCAAAATTCTTTTCTCTCTTTTTATTCCATTCACTTTCCTTTTTGCTCGTTCTAGGTATCACTTTTGTATTGTCTAAGCAACTTGCATATATAATTATAATAAATATCTGACTTTTAAGTTTCTTCATTTCAAAGGAAGTTACATCAGCATAAATACCTAGTTTGAATTTGGTTAATTTCAATATATCCCAACCCAGTCGTTAACGTAGATATTCATCTAATATGAAAGAATAACTAAGTATTCGAGGTAAAATGAACCTTTCAAGTTTTTTTAATATTTTCTAAAGGTGAACAGAATCTGTTTAATTTGAATGAAATAAAAGTAATAGTTTATATAGCAGCAGCTATTTTCTGTTTGTTCCATTGATTCTGCTACTAACAAATGTTGTTTAATAGGCATCTTAGTTTAATTTTTGGAGATTTTGTTTCATTTTTACGTGGATCTCTTTCATTCCAGGAAGAACCCAAAGTGTGGAAACTGGGAAACTGAACCCTTAAGTCCAAACTTATCCACTTACAGGTTAGGATGATATAATATGACAAAGACAGCCTAACTCATCTCTTTGTTTTGTCATATATACTTTTTTTATAAAACAATTTCAAAACTTATCAAATATTTTCAGATTTTATACATCAAATTCTTGTCTATCCGAAATTTAGTGCTGCAAACATGGGAAAATGATACAGATGAATAAGGCTACTGGGGAAAAGATTGCATATAAGTTGTAATGGTAAAGATCCAATATTGCTTTCTTTTCAAGAATAAGAATTTAATTTCTCTGCAGCAATTATGGATAGAAAATGAGATGTGAGATGATATGAGCCACGCGATTCAGAGGATAACATGATTGATTATTCCATTTATGTTTACTTCATGGGCCTCACATTTTCTATTCTATTCTATATTCTATAGTCCGATACTCCGATTATCTGTCTATATCAGATATATAGTTCCTCTGCAGCTCTGCTTTGGCATCTCCCTTCCATTTACTATAATAACAGATACTGAATATCTTTTAATTCTAGTTGTTATATTTTATCGATCTTTAATTTAAGTGGGTTTAGTTTTAATAGTTAAAGCAAATTACTATTCATCTTTTTTTAATTCTCTAGTTGCAAAAATAATTCACATTCTTATCTTGATAAACGATTCCTCTCCTTTGTCAAAAAGAGAAAAAACCAAAATTATCAAAGAGAAGTTCTCAAAAGCATCATAGGCTCATAGCTTATTCAAGTTCTAAGCTTCAGGTTACGCATAATATATAGTGATTGGCATTGTCAAAATGAAAACGAAGATGCTGATTCCCTCCATATAATGCACTTAAATATTGATGGAATAGAAAATAAGTTGAAATTCAAACCAGACTGTAAATGTAGTGTACACATTAAAATAGATGAGTTGAAATTGTTTAAGGTTGACTAGGGATTCCCCCGTGGATCCATGAATCAACGGCTGATGCGGCGGCGACTCACATGGTTGCTCAAACCACAACTAATGTTAAAAAAACGTTGGACGGAGAGAGGATCAGTGAAGTGATGATCAAATAACAGCTATATTCGATCGTATTGTGATTGGATGAAGTATGAATCAATCATAAGTATAACAAGACAAATTTAATATAAAATAACTTAATAAATTAGATATGAGGTGTCACTGTGAGATGCGTGACTAAACAAAAAAAAACAAGAGAAACCCTAGATAAGGGTAACAGGACGACGAATAGTAGACTTTTAGTTTGGTGGTCATTCAATTCAAAGCTGTCGTCTTCTCTTCCCTCTGTTTCAATGCACTTATTAATTCACATTCACACTCATTTTTTTTTTTTTTTATAATTTTATTACACCTTATTTGTGCTGACTTTGTGTGTTTGGGTTATTGATTGATAGAGATCCCAGGAGAGGTCCTACGAAGGTAAGCTACTTGTGCTTGTGCTGAATTTGTGTCTTATTGGGACCCAGATAAATAAGATAATGGAGTCCCTTACGGATCCTGCACAGGCACCACCCTTTCAGCTTGGCAATTTGGTTTATAAAATTGATATTTTGAATCCAATCTCTATAAATAGTTCTATCAAGGCTCCATTTATTTCCACAACAGCATAATTAAAAAAAACCTGGAATATGCATTCTGCTTCATTTACACATTGCACACCATCAAACTCACGTTTTCTTTTATATATTTTATTAGGCTTTGATTAAAATATGTATTTAAGAACATGTTTCTTTGCCTTTAAAGTCAACTATGAACCATCACGTGTAATCGTGAATTTCATGTATTTGTAATATTAGGTTAGGTAATGTATCAAATCAACATTAATACATTTCAAACAAAAAAAATCAGCTTGTCCAAGGACCAGGATCGATGTAGTTTATGTAATTATATTAGAAATTAAGCATGATAAATGCAGTCTCCAATTCTGAATTGAGTTTGGTTTGAAAGCTGTAAGAATCTTATCTAAAAGAGTTATCTTTCCATTCAAGAGCAATGTGTTTTCAGAGAAGAGAAGTGACATTCATGTGGCGTCTTCTGATTGGCTACAAGTTGAAGATTTTCGGTATCGAAATCTTTTTATATATAAACCGGGAAAGCCCCGTGTTGCTCATGGCAATCACCGGTCTGTCTCTTTTAGTGATGAAAGAGAGCTCCTAGTGGTGTTCGGTGTTCCTGTTAAATGGCAATCTCCAATTGGGAAATTTATCTATACTTATCATAAACTTATACGGCTTGACTCAACGGGAAATCCATCACCATATTCCATGTGGCCTCATTTCAACACCAGGTTATCAGAATTAAACCACGTTTGATTTTTTATTTAGGTAAGGGCAATGCAGATGAATGATTATGCCTGAGAAAAGTCTTGTCACAATCCACTTACTAAATCTCTTGCATGGATATTAGTTAGGATATTGATATTATTTAAAAAAAAGGCTGAGTTTTAATTTGTGGAGACTTCTTGGTTTTGAGTTGAATTTCAAAGTTCATAACGGTGACCATTTAAGTCCAATTAATTAACGTCTTTAATCACGGTTAATAGCATACCAAAACCAAATTGATTGATTAACATTAAAATAATGAGAAGAAAACTAAAGTAAATCTTTGAATTTCATGAAATTAGCTACGTTTTTAGATTGCTTTTAAGACTATGGCGGTGGTCGTACCACTAGTGAAAAGGTTAGTGGAAAGATGGTGGGTATGTTCTTGAAAAGCTACAATTTGACTCACTTTCATTTCTCCTTATATCACTATGACCCATTCTTTACTACATCTAATGGTGAAATATTGATGAAATCTCAGAATCATACGGCCACAAATGCAAATGGGTTGTGGTTTATCTTATCATCCTACACCCACCTAAAGAATTCCCCAATTGATAAGTCAAGTCCACACACACACACACACACACACACACACATATATATATATATTTTAAAGGATCCTGTTGATACGCGTGTACATACAGAGAGGATTAAAGAATTTATTCCTTATCTTAATTCATGATATTTATTTATAATTGACAATAGTAATAGTGGAGACGATGGAGAGAAGGTATATATATATATATATATATATATAACCTATAAGAAAAAAAATTAAATTAAAAGAAAATTTATAAAAAGATCTGTGAAGCTTCTTTTGAACATAGCCACACTGTGAGAGGCAACCCAACATACCATAATTAGGAGGGTGAAGCATAATCGCTTTTACATTTAATATATTTGGTTTTGTGGTCAAACAAGACAAAGACTACCCTATTTTCTGTTTTCTTTTTTGATTTTGGTGGGAGGATTTGATGCTTCTTTTTTCTCTTTTATATAGAAACCCATCATTTATTTCACAATTGATCTTCGTATAGATAGTAGTTTTATTTTGGAGTATTGGGTATGGAAACTAAATATTGTTATAATAATAGAAATTAAAAAATTCTTTCGCAACACCACAAAAGTTGCAAAGAGATTTAAAGTCATTTTCTAATGAGTCTAGACCATTCTCTCCCCAGTTTGGACCCTTTATCTTTCACCTCTTTAAATCTCCCACCAGTCGTCACTCTTCTTTTCTAATCAAACTAACTTTCTCTCTTCCCTCTTCTTCTCTTTCTCTCTAACCAGAGATCCAACTTCAAGTATTGGAAAAGAGAGAAGAACAAAGATGGTGGGTTCCCTTTCCCTTTCCCTCTTCTCCCTTTTTTTCTCTTTTTGGTTTCTTTCAGTAATATTCACTACTATTTTTATTTGTTCTTGGTTTTGATTACCAAAGTCTTTTTGTTGCATGCTTTCTTTTTTAAGTCCTCATGAATTTTGGTGCATAATATAGGAGGAAGAAGCACAGCAAGTGTGCAGATGGGAAGGTTATGTTGATTGGAGGAAGAGACCTGCTCTGAGAGGCCGCCATGGTGGCATGCTTGCAGCATCTTTTGTTTTGGGTATGTGGCACAACTCTTTCTTTCTTGGTTTAATCTCTTTTAAATTACTATGAAATAATACTTATTACTCATGATCTTATTGAAAAGTTTTCAAGTGGGGATTATTGAAATATGAAGCACTTTTAATTTGTGGGTGTGTAGTTGTGGAGATATTGGAGAACCTGGCATACTTGGCAAATGCAAGCAATTTGGTGCTTTATTTATCAAAATACATGCACTTATCTCCATCAAAATCTGCAAACAATGTCACAAATTTCATGGGAACTGCCTTTCTTTTGGCTCTCCTTGGAGGCTTCCTATCTGACGCTTTCTTGACGACTTATCACATCTACCTGATAAGTGCAGCTATTGAATTTCTGGTAAATATTTAATTTCCAGTATCTCTCCTTTTCTTTCGAATCACATACATCCTTTGAATTTTATTTGGAGAAAGTTGTATAGTAGTTGCATCTGGTGAGGTGCATTGGGGAATTGTGAGAGAAGAAAGCTTTTGCATGAATAAGAAACAAAACAGAAGATTGGAGTAAAAAGTGACAAAAAGTTGGGTGGCGGGTGGGGTGTGGTGTGAAAAAGTAAAACCTGTGACTTAATGGATTTGAGCAACAGTGTTTAGGTACTATGATTGGTGTACTCAAAACCTCATCATCTTCTCTTTCCTTTTTTTAAAATTATTTTTTATATTAATCTCACCTGGATCAGATGATGATGGTGATGATAGGTTTTTTATTTCTTTTATTAAAGAAACAAATTTGAGAATCTTTCTCTTTCTCTATGAAAAAAAGTATATAAGCAATATTTCTTTTGATTAAAAAAAATAAATAATAAATTCATTTGCTAAAGTCAGAACCACAGATGCGGGGTCAAGTGGGTCCCACACATGCAACCTCGATACAGCGCATTGCAAACGGGAGTGAGTGGTTGTGGACCCCATCTCTAATGTTTTTGTGTCTGTGTTAAGACAAATCAAAACTTCGTTTGAAAGCAACCTCAAAAACTTGTCTCTGCGCGTACCCGATAGACACCCCCCACTTCCCGGCTAATCTCACCCAATAAAATATTTAAATATCCCCATCCACATTTACTTTCTTTCCTCATGCCACGTGTTACCCCACTTTCTGAGGGTTCGCACGGAGGGTGCAATGGTACACGTGGATTCCACGATACGGCTGTTTAAAAAAAAAAAAAGCACTTTGACGAGTATAAATGGGGATTTATTTTTGAAGATTTGTATTTTTAGATTGTCTTTATCCTGATTTAAAATTAGAGATTCGACATAAATATTTGCTATTATGGGGAATTGAAGTGGTACTTTAAACTTTATAATACCATAAATAGTAAAGACTAAAGACTATAATAGCTATGTAGGATGATGAACCACGTGTACGGTGACACTACCTACACTACATTCCAAGTGATTTTATAATGACATTTCATACTTAACAAGTCCTTTTCTTTGCCAATATTCGGACCCACTCGTGTGGATACTTGATAGATTGTTATTGGTTTGTCGCACGTGCATTCAACATTTACTTTAAATTTTTTACATTAATTTTCCACCACCAATTGCACCATTTTATTATTAAACTTTGTGGGTAGACCCAATCGGATCCATCCCTTTACATCATATCCGGACAATCCGTGACTCAACAGAGTTTCTTCCAAGTAGATNTATAATAGCTATGTAGGATGATGAACCACGTGTACGGTGACACTACCTACACTACATTCCAAGTGATTTTATAATGACATTTCATACTTAACAAGTCCTTTTCTTTGCCAATATTCGGACCCACTCGTGTGGATACTTGATAGATTGTTATTGGTTTGTCGCACGTGCATTCAACATTTACTTTAAATTTTTTACATTAATTATGTGGATGTAGTGTCCACCACAAGCCACACCAATTGCACCATTTTATTATTAAACTTTGTGGGTAGACCCAATCGGATCCATCCCTTTACATCATATCCGGACAATCCGTGACTCAACAGAGTTTCTTCCAAGTAAATTCAATATAAATTTATTGCCTTCAAGAAGTGACCAACCTATCCTTAATTTAAAAATATTAGATAGGGACATTTGGCATGAAAATTTACACATAAAATCATCATTTATTACTTTTTTTTTTTTAAACAAAATTAAATGTGTAACCCTTTTTTTTTTTTTTTTTGTTTTTTTGGTGATTAAAAGGGCTTGGTTATACTCACAGTGCAAGCTCGCTCTTCTTCTCTAAAGCCACCACCATGTGGTCCGTCAACCCCCAACGTTCAATGCAAAGAAGTTGATGGCGGAAAAGCCGCAATGTTGTTCATTGGGCTGTATCTTGTGGCGCTGGGCGTTGGAGGGATTAAGGGCTCACTGCCTACACACGGGGCGGAGCAATTCGATGAAGCCACCCCACACGGAAGGAAGAAAAGATCAACTTTTTTCAATTACTTTGTGTTTTGTCTCGCCTGTGGTGCCCTCATTGCAGTGACATTAGTTGTGTGGATTGAAGACAATAAAGGATGGGAATGGGGATTTGGAGTTTCCACCATTGCAATTTTGTTGTCAATCCCTATCTTCTTTGCTGGTTCAGCTTTTTACAAGAACAAGATTCCTTCTGGCAGTCCACTCACCACCATTTGCAAGGTAACCTGCTCAAAACTTCATTGAAAGATTTTAAATTTTTCCTATGACAAAGGACAAATTTGAGGACTGATGGCCTTCCTTTTTTCTAATATCAGGTTTTGATTGCTGCATTGATCAACGTTTGTACAAGTAAAGCTCCAAGCAATGCCATCGCGAACCTCTGTGCAAGCCCTTCTAATCAAAACCAAACTAGCAAGGGACCAGAAGAAGAAACTGCAAAAGCAAGGGAGTTGCCTCAAGCCCCAACAGAGACCCTCAGGTTCTTAAACAGATCGCTTGTTAGCAAGCCAGTCCACACAGCACTAGAATGCACGGTGAAGGAAGTAGAAGAAGTGAAAATTGTGATAAAAGTCCTCCCTATATTTGCTTGCACCATCATCCTCAACTGCTGCCTCGCTCAGCTCTCCACATTTTCGGTCGAACAAGCTGCCACCATGAACACTAAGATTGGTTCCTTAAAAGTCCCACCAGCGTCCCTTCCAGTTTTTCCTGTACTCTTCATCATGATCCTAGCACCAATTTATGACCATTTCATCATCCCATTTACTAGGAAAGCAAAAAAATCCGAAATGGGGATTACTCACCTACAAAGAATTGGAATTGGTTTGTTTCTTTCCATTGTAGCCATGGCAGTGGCAGCTCTTGTTGAGATTAAACGGAAGAGAGTCGCAACGAACTCGGGACTCGACTCAACTGGTCCATTACCAATCACATTCTTGTGGATTGCTTTTCAGTATTTGTTCCTGGGGTCGGCTGATCTTTTCACCTTAGCCGGCCTGCTAGAATTTTTCTTCACGGAGGCACCCACAAGCATGAGATCTTTGGCAACATCTCTGTCCTGGGCCTCTTTGGCCATGGGATATTACTTGAGCTCAGCGATTGTATCAATAGTTAACCAAGTCACTGACATTTCGGGAAACGAACCGTGGCTCTCTGGTGGCAGCATAAATGAGTATCACCTTGACAGATTCTACTGGCTGATGTGTGTGCTCAGTGGATTGAATTTCTTGAACTACCTTTTCTGGGCCACCCGGTATAAATACAGATCAACAGGAGCAAATCAGTAAAATAAAGTTTGGAGCTAAACAGAATTTAAAGATGGTGGTTTCTTGATCAATCATTTCTAATATTCAAATTAGAATTTCAAATATTTGAATATCGAAAATGGTTGATCAAGAAGGCACCATCTTTAAATTCAAAATTTTGATATCTCAAGATTTTGTTTATCTCTAACAAAAGATATAGAGGGATGTAGGTGAAAGGCTTTTAGGTAGCTTTTACCGTGAATATTCATGGTGCCGGAAAATTAACTCTGCGGTTGTATATATGAGCCGGCTACTTGCCAATACAGAGGAGATACCGGAGATTAGGTGATTATACCAGAGCCAGCGAAGAAACTGTCTTCTGCTTATCTTGTAATACTGGTTCTGATTCTCTTGTTAATTAGTTACAGTTAAAACAGAAATTGATAATGGTGTTGTTAAATACCAATTTGACAAATATGCATTTTGATGAGGATGAATTAACATTCTAGTGGAAGCAATCAACATAATTTCAGCTTCCAAAAGGAGAGAAGAAAAAATAAATAAATATTGGATTGAATGAGTAATTGGCCATTGTCAGCTGCCTGAACAGTTTCTGTAAATGATGTCCAATTATATAAAGAAAAGAATAAAACTTACCAATATAGGCATAAAATAAAAGATCAAACCAAAAAGTTACAATTAGAAACCAGTTGCATTTCTGAGGCAAGAGCTGATGGGTACAAACTAGCACAGTAAATTAGGTCATATTCATATACATATGTCTTCTTTTCATTGTATTTCTATTTGAAATCTCGTGTTCCTTAAGTCGTTGCCTAAAAGAAATTCGTCCTATTTTCTGAAATGGATTCATCCTTCAAATGTTTTTAGTAGGGTTTTGTTAAGAATAGGGTTTACTGACATAGTTCTCCAACAATACAAGGGGATGTAGCTCAGATGGTAGAGCGCTCGCTTAGCATGCGAGAGGTACCGGGATCGATACCCCGCATCTCCATTTTTTGAGCTGTCTTAATTTTCTTTCAATACTCAACGTGTAACTAAATTGATACCCTCAAATAAATAACTCTCTTACTTTTCACACACACCAAATATTGAAATAAAATGTAAAAATATATATATATGATTTTATGTTAATTTTAAGAGAAACTGTCAAAATTTCATTCATATCATTGATAATTAAAAATCATTTTTGCTAATAATATTTAACATCAAACTCTAGTGTTAGCTTAATAATCTTAACTCAGAAGAATTGCATGTGTTATAATGTGGTCAATTACAATTAAAAAATGAAGATTATACAACATAAAACTTGAAACCCTAATTAAAAAGAATACCTAAACCTCATAATGACATTAATACCCTTTCACATCACCTTAATCCAAACACCAGGACTAGGAATTCCAGAGTGGACTACAAATATCATGTAATATCCAGGTGGAGCTACCGTGGCAGCATTGGGCCCTATCACCACGACCTTATAAGTTAAAATGGACAGCGGTACCACTTCCAGCACTTTCAAAACCACCATGCGTTGGTTCATGGACCACGAGTGCGTGGCAAACGACGGGTATAGGAGCGACACAAATAGCTCTGCAGTTGGGTGGAACATTGCTAACGAGAAAGTAACGGAAAAAACCTCATTATATGACACCCTATTCTCCGTTGACTCCACCGTCAAAATGGAAGGCCGGATACTCTCGAACAGTGGAGATAAGTAGTGTGGATAAAAAGCCTCCAAACTCAATTCGGTCGGGTAAGGGTACGCTGTGAAATTGTACCTCGCGTGCGGGTTACTCCCACCCACTAATATCCTGCCATCTGGTACCAACACAGCCGACGAGTGGTACATTCTCGGAATCTTCGACGGATTCAAAACCAAGAATCTGAGGGGCGGCTCTTGGTTAGGCAAGTACAAAACCGGGTTCAAATTCGGGTTCGCTCCGTTCTCCCAACCGGCTGTTCCATTAGTTGCACCATTTATAAGGATGACTTCACCTGTGGGTAATAATATCATGTCCGTCATGACACGTGGCATCGGCATGACCTCCATGGACCAAACGGGTTCCGGGTCGGTCACTTTTAGTCTCCCACAGGTCGTTGATGCTTCTACGAAAACCCGTTCCTTCTGGGACTTGAGAAACGCGCCGGGAGGAGCTCCGCCGCAAACCATCACCTCAGCTTCAGGGAAACCACTAGTCAAATTGTAAGCATATGGTCCGGTTAAGGTTAACCGTAGAGGAAGCAAGACAGAAGAGCCAGTACTAGGATAGCTCCTCTTATCGTTACCAGGAATAACTGGAAACTCTTTAACAACCTTGTTGTTAACATAGTCGAACAAGATTGATCTTCTGTTCGCAAAAATAAAAAGATTACCGTCGGGTAAGAGATGTAGGAAAGGGTAGAGATTGTTCTCTTCCGGGTCTCTTGTTTCAATCAAGAACGGAAGGTAATAACTTGACGGTAAAGATTCGTTCTTGGGGTAAAACTCGTAGGTGAAAACTTTTCTACCGCCGACGATGATGATGCGATTGTCAGGTAAAATCTGGTTTGAAGCGTACCATCTTCGGTCCCAGAGAGATTTCTTTAACTCAACCCAGTCACTGGTTTCATCGTCACTGGGGCTGAAAAGGCGGATTACGCGTTCACCGTTGTGGTAGCCACCGGTTTGGACAAGGGTACCGTCGCGGTCAACGGCGCCGGAAGAGCACCAGGTGTCAGTTAGGACCATAAGGGGTCGGAATGTGTTTGAGGCGATGTCGTATAGGACAGAGTGGGAGGTGCAGTCGGGTTTGAGAATTTCGTCGTTCAAACGGCACTTATTGGCGGGAAGGGAGATATTGGAGGGGCCGGAATCAGTGCGGTCAAAGAAGATGATCTTGTTATTGTGAAGAACTTGCATGTGCATGGCGGAGATGCCGATGCTCGGTTGGAGGAGAACCCAGTAGCCACCCCATACGTTAGCCCAATTCGACCTGGTAACATCAAAGGCCGCAGAAAGAGAAGGTGTGAATAAGGAGAAGAGAGTAAGTAAAGAGACGATGAAGAAGAAAGAAGGGTTCTTGATGGCCATTGTGGTTGTTCTTTGTTCTTGGGTATAAAGAACGCATGCAGTGCAGTAGGGACGTTTTTAATTGGATTTATAGTTGGAGTGAAAGAGAAGAAAGGGAAATAGGAAGTCAGAGTTAATAATGAGAATTAATTGGTTTATAATTGTGCATGTCACAGAGGATGGGGATTCGATTAGCTTTAAATGGTCATTAATTAAGGAAAAAACAAATTGCAAGAGTATGGCAAAAGGAGGCGTACGTGTGCATGGATATTCAATTCTCAAGTCAAGTGTGAAGGAATTTTTTGTGCTTTCAGTTTCGCGGCTTTTCGCTGCTGTTAAATTTCTAGAAAAGTGTACTGAATAGATGAGTTATTGAATGACCATGGTTGGTCAAAGAGCTATTCATCACATTCAAGGATGCATTAATTATAAATTTATAATAACCAGGGACTGTCACGATTTCCCACATTCCCTCGAACCCCGAGTTTTGAATGCCCATGAAGCTTTGCTAATTCCAAAAATCAACATTGATCCTCACGGAAGTTTAGTCGGTAAAGTGGCCGATTCATTGAATAAAAGACTCTTTAAGGATAATATCAAAGACATCCTAAATTCCATTCACCTTTATTGTTATCGTTAAGACGTTAATAGAGATTACCACTTGAAGTTTACCCAGCTTCACCTTGAAGTTGGATTCTTTGATTCTTTCCATTCATTATTTTAAGAAAATAACTCTTATAAGATATTCAGCAAAACAAGGAGCCAAATTGAGTATGTAAAAGAGGAAGCTTTTGAAACCCACCTGATAAATTAATGAAGTTTTAAGCTGTGATAGGACATAATCAGCCACCAATGAACAGGAAACAACAAACCAAAGTCTTTTAAATTGAAATGAAATATTTTTTCATATATGAACAACTTACATCTCTTTTTTTAAATGTTTTCAACCACTGGCTGAGGAAGCTGAAAAGATTACAATGTGAAATGAGGGAATCACGTATTGAAAGATGGACGATATTATTTCTGAAGCAGCAGTAGTAGGGGCGAAAGAATTTAAAAGCTATTTACGAGTTACGATCTTGACGAACAAGCACCGATGGATGAACTCCTCACTGCAACCTTGATTGCGCCAATGGCACTGAGCTGCCTCTTTTCTGGGCTCAGCCCATGTCGATCTGCATTCTTACATCCTTCTTCTGTTTGAACACTGGCAAAGTATGCTACCTGAACAGTCAATAACCCAAAATAAGGGACGGAATTTCCTGTACCAAAAATGACAAGACCCGACAAAGGGAACACTATGAACTTGCAAACAGAAATAGCCCGAATCCACCCAATTCATTTACAATCCAGAGACGTTCATGCGCACATCAGGTCCATAATTAATCAGAACAAGCAACAAGCAACATGCAAATAAACTATTATATGCCATCGTCAAGAGCGTATCAGGTCACTTAATTTTCTACTTCCAGTACCTTGCCAGCCAACATAAATCACTTCTCCTAGTCAATTCTTCCTAATAACCTACAACTTTGCATCAAAGGTTTAGACCAAGTGTAAATAAAATTGAACTTAATATTCAAGGTCCACATTTACCTGCAGGAACCTACAAAAAACACTAGTTACAAGCAGCGACGTAACTAGAAAAGAAATATAAGGGGGTCAAAGTTGAAAAAACAATACAATTTTAAATTAAAATAAATACAAGTTTTGTACTTATAAAATTCTCATTAATTAATATATTTATAATCGTCCTCAACGGGTTTCATTTTTTAAAAGTATTGTATAATGACTTCATTATCAATACTATCAGATACATATTTCTTTATACACACAATTAAGTTATCATTCAACCATTGATCACTCATTATATTTCGTAAACAATTCTTTACAATTTCATTGTTGAAAATGCTCTCTCTACACTAAGAGTGATAAGGATAGAATCAATGTTAACTTCATCAACAAATAAACTAATGAAAATATTCTGTCTTTCTTAGTTTTAACCTTGAACTTTCAAAACAAATAGTACAGATATAAAATGTATTAGAATTACCTGACAAATTGAAGAAAAAAGGGGCTTGTCTGCTTGATAGATAGGAGAAAACAACATTTATGTGGATAAAGAATTAGAAATTTAGAAAAAAAAAAATTGAAACCTGGGTTGTTAAATCAGTTATGGACAATAGAGAAAGAACGGGTCTGAGAAGTAGAGAAAAAGGGTTTAATTTTGACAGTTCAAAAAGAATAATGAGAGTTTAACTTATTTGATAGATTGAAATTTTTTTGTAATTTACTTTTCATTTAGGGGCAAATGTGTAAAACTCATCAAAAAAAATTTGAAACTTAAGGAGGGTCAATTATTGACCCTCCTTGACCCCCTCTCCCTCCACCCCTGGCTACAGAGAACCAAGCAAGTTATCAAATTTTTCATAATGGAAAAGCTGAAAATATGGAAGAGGAAACTCAAAGGCAGGACTATAACTATAAATTATGATACCTATAACACCAAAATTATCGTCTAAATTCACTACCATCATTGTATATAAGATGGGACAACGGAAAGAACACCAAAACAGTAATCGAAAAATAGGGATAAGGTTGTTCCTTAAAAATTTGAAACCTTAAATGATCTCAATCTTCCAATCCCTCCCTACCTACCCCCACTTATCTTTATGGCTGTCCAAAAACAACAATCACCGTCATCAGTAACAACGTAAAAAATAAAGAAGACGGTAAAAGACAGAGCAATATGTCTCTAATTACGTTCAAGTGATGTGATTTATCACTGTAACTGGACAATGACGTATTAGTTTGACAATACCAAAAATATATATACAGAAGTATGTAAGGGGACCACAGTCCCATGGTATATACAAGTCAATCAGAGAGGCATTCACCTGAATTGTACACCATGGGCTGGCTAGCAGACCTACAGACCAGACCGTCATGCAACACTGCAATGTATCATTAAGGCCCATAAGGTGGTAATATCAAGGACGGCACACAGTTTTAACACTTCTTACCAATCAAAGTATTCTGTAATAATTCTTATAAATATTACTAAAATCAAATAATCAAATGGACTTGGTGAAAGAAACTTAGCTGACGTAAAAGAGAAGAACATTTAACCATACAAATCAATTCACAAGTTCAGTATGAGAAGTGACACTTGCTTAGTAACCTGATGCAAGTTTTTCATAATTCCCAGCAGTTTCAGTGATGACAACAACTATTCATTAAATATATCATAAACATGAATGCCTCGGGATCCTTCACTTATTTATGTTAGGAGCAATTTTTTTTAGAGCACAACAAAATTCTATATGCACAGAAGTTTAAAGAGCATGCTTTAAAAACAGTTGGTGGGTAGAGGGCAGGTTGAACCCAGAAGCAGGAGTGCAATTGATGACGTGATACATCAACCAGAGAGACAGTTAAAGAGATGGAGTGGTGGTGCTTTATAGATTAGGGAAAAAGAAAACAAGCATAGCTATAAACTGGGAACATATGGTATTGAAATTGGCTCAATTAGCTTGATAATAATCATGCTCTAGCAGCAGTAACAGGGAATGTTGAAGAAACCATTCATCCATCCTCTCCGATAGATACTTAAGACCACCAGCACAATTAACATATGATAACAACTAGAAATAACGCATGGAAAAGATACAGTCCGTACAAAAAAAATTATTGATGGATTTTGGAGTTTAATCATCCTGGAGACCTAATTATAAATGAAAGACACCAATCATATCTTGAGCATTCTCTGTAATCAAAGAACAAGAGCAATTTGATTCCTAGTTTTCTCTTCTGTAATCAGTTTTTCCTATGCAAAATTAATTTAAATGATCTGCAGAAACCTTAATCATCAAGGTATATAGTTACTAAGCTCAATGATGAAATTAGATATCAAATAAGTATTCAAACATATTAGAACAATCACTCTATAGTCACCCATGTGGAAACCTATAAACAATCATGTAAACAGGTACGAAAACAAGAAGACCGATAATAACACATTCCACTAGTTCAGTCAACTGAAAGAAGCTTTTGCAGAGGCAGCCTTCTATTAGCACATAACCAACAGCAAGCGTGGATAAAGAATAGAACAGCAGCTTGATAACCAGAAGATGCAATAGGCAGAAACAAATAATTGAGCATGCAATACAAACTGAAACAAGATTGGTACTGCCTTTAATGCTCATTCAAACATGCCAACCTCAAAGGATATAACAAATTTATATGTTTCTACCAACCTTTACATGCTATATGAAGCAGTCATCCTTAAAATAACCTTAGTTGAGGTAACAATCACACCATTCCATTCCAAATGAATGCCTAATTTGTTGCTCTCTGGTAAAAGGGACCCATTTTGAAACAAATAGAACAGAATTCCAGCTTATATGAACAAAAATTTCCATCTTCTGACTATTTAGAAATTATAACATAGTTAAGATAAAATAATATGAAACATTATTCTCCATCAAACAATAAGCAAATTGAGTTTATTAACCACGAGTTCTTAGTGATCAGAGTACCAAAAATAGATATTACAAAGTTCACTGGACTTTAGTTTAAGAAAAAGCTACAATACCTTGCCAGATGCATTACGAACAGGTGACATATGAAGAAGACACCAAAATGAACTTTTGTCCTTCCTGATATTAAAGCAGCAAAATATTTATTTCAGTTTGAAGAAAATGGTGCAGTTCTTAAAAACACTGAAAGTATCGTCAAGTATCAACCTGTAATTTAAGATACGTACTGTGCATGCTTGTTCTGCTCGAATGCTTTCCTTTATCTGTGGGAAATTTATAATAAAAATATATTCATCCAACAAAAACCCCACTTCGCTTCACTGATTTATGTCACAAAATTGCATAGCAAAATTTTCAGAACCTAGCAGTCAAATTGGATGTACCTGATATAAGGTTGCAGTATCAGTATCAGATCCATTTAAGAAATCACAGTTGTGCCCCAACACTTCATGTCTGTCATAACCTACAGAAGTCGAGCATTATGTAAGTAGCTGCATAAATTGTAGGGTTATATATTTATATCATTGTCAAAATTGTTTATGTGCCATGAACATCACTGTAATTCTGGTAAAGCATAGCACCTGTCAACTTTAAGAAGGCATCGCTGGCGTAAACTATGGGCATGTCAGGTAAGTGTGGATCAGTTCTGCAAGGCAACACAAATATGTCGCAGAAAACAAAGAATACAGGCATTAGAAATCTTCAAAAAGTTAAAATCCTAATTTAAAGTAAAAACTTAGGATTTTGCAACAACTCACAATACAAAGCTTTGTTTGATTCTACCAAGAGATATACGTAATGAAGAATTTATGAAGCCCACCCCCGCTATGCTGCATCTCTTTTCACAAACCAATTTGCCTGTTGATGCACTATAGTGAGTTAGCACAGACAAGACGTTGTTTATGGCATTTGCAGCTTTTCGCTTCTCTAGCTCACTTGCTTCACAGGGCTGTTCATTCTCTAATCCTGCCAGACAGACACTAAGCATATGAGAACCCCGCCCAGATAAAAAGGAGATCCTGGAAAGAGAAGAAAGATTGAATAAAAATGCAGGAAACCAGAAGCATGCTAATTTTAAGCATACTATTGATCAAACAAATTTTCAAAAAAGGGCCTATCGTTTATCAAACTCATGGCTTATCTCTTAGAAACTGAAGAAATCCAACAAACACAATGCAAAATTTATGAAGTACAGCTGCCAATATACAGTCAAGTTAATCAAGCGAACATTTGAATAATGAGAAATACAACACAAAACTTTTATCATGATATAAGCACCAAAATAAAACATCAGAAAGATTCTAGAATATAGATAAAAGAAAGTGAATGCACAACTAGGAATCAAATCATTCGGATTAGAACAATAATCTAGTAAAGGTTAGCAAAAAGCATGTCTCAACTGAACAATCAAGCAACAAATATAAACTATTTATCTCTTAGACATCCTAAATGAATCTACAGAACTAAACAAGAGTAAGTGATCTCCATGAGAGAAGAGAAGACATTAAATCACTAAAAACACCAAAAACCAGGATGTGCTCAATTAGTAAGTGCCAGTTTACTGATTGATAACCAAACCATACAAGCAATTACATAAAATACAGGACCAAATGAATTCAACTAAGCCAAAATTATCAACAGAACTGGCTTCAAATCATCGAAAACAAACCTTGACTATCCGAATCAAGCGCCAAAAGACGATCCAAATCCAACAAAGAATCCGAACAAACCTCCCTCCTACAAGAACCAAACACAATCTCTCTAAACCCAGAATCACTACCCTCTTCACTAAAATTGAACCCACTGTTTCTCCTATGTTTTTTGGAAACAATAGGCACCTGAACTGCCAGAAAATGAGTGACCCTCCCGTCTTGTTTACAAAAAACAGGACTCAGACGAAACAACATCCAAAAGGGTGTCCCATCTTTCCTATAATTCAACAAATTAACCTCAACTGTCCTCTCTTCACGAATTGCCTCTCGAATTTCCATAACCGTCCTTCGATTAGTCCCTGGACCTTGAAAAAATCTTCCGTTTTTCCCAATTATTTCCTCTCTAGAATAACCTGACATTTTCATGAACCCTCGACTCGCAAACACTATTGGATGACCAGAAATTGAAGGATCAGTAATCGTAAAATTGTCAGGTAAACCATCAAGCGCTTCTCGTGCCCAGAAAGTGTAGCGACTGTTAAATGATTGTTCAATTAGACCCAGTTGTGAGTCCATTCTGCTTCTCCCTTAACACTAAAACTCCCAATCCCATGTGGTACTCTATGCTAAAACAAGCTAAACAAAATTGTTAAACAGCTACATCTCCAGATAGAGCAGTGAACAACACCGAAACATTTGCTCTTCTTATTATTCCACCTCGAAATATCTGGAAGAGATTCTGGAATCGAATGAACAATGATGATTGAGCAATACCCATCAATCGCCCGAAATGAACCTCAAAATATAATCACGATAAAGACACACCAAAACGCAGGAGCTGAGAAGGAGCACACGACTTAGCAGAATCACAAAAAAGGAAGCCAAAAAAAAAAAAAAGATTTTTATTTAGAAAACGTCATTGAAGAAATTGCCACAAGAAGATGTGGACCCCAAGTCTAATCAATAATTGAATAGATTCTCATTCAATTCGAAGCCGTCAAGTGGGCTCGTAACAAAATGCAATGGGTTGTGGTTTGGTTTAGCGAGTGAAAATAGAGATAAGCAAAGGACGGTGATACTTATCCATACGCGTCATTGTTGTATTTTAATTTGTATGTATGTCGTTTCGTATTCGTTTCCTTTCTATTTATCTGATGTTGGTTTCCGTTTCTTGACAAAAAAGATGAAGGGGTGGTGGTACTGGTACTGCTCGTGCTCATTTGTTTTGTTTTGTTTTACACTTAACTGAAATGGAATTCAGATAAGTGCTCAGTACTTAACCTTCATCCTCCCACCATTATTATATCTTTATTTACTTGGGTTAGCCACCCTGCGCATCCCATCGCATCGCCGCGTTTCCACTTGTCCTCTGGTGACTCAGATTGTTGAGTCTTCAAAATGTTTTTTACTGAAATTGGAATAAAATTTTCTTTTTGCTTTGCCAAAAAAAATAGACACGGATGTCGGCACGCCAGCTAAAACTTAACAAACACTTAAAATAGAAAGTGATATTAGATGTCAAAACTCAAACCATGTTAAAGCGATATTTTATATCAATCCTATTATATTTTAATATAAGGATTAAGAAGAGGTTTTTATGTGTCAAGACAACTTATAAAAACACTTATTACGTTGAGTTCAAAAATGTATAAATGGACATACCTCTTCATGAAAAATGGGTTGGTTGGACATATGAAAGTTGGACACAAATTTGAGCTTCGTTATTTCTCTCTATAAATAAAGTATTTCTTCATTTTTATGTCTTACAAGCAATATCAGAAAAATTGTCAGAGAATAATAAAATAATAGTGGATATAGGATTCGCTTTAAGCATCCGAACCACTATAAAAATCTCTCTTGTCAATCTATTATTTATGTTTCTGCAAATATATATAATGTCTACATTATAATCAGCTATCATAATCATTCACGTGTAATTTCTAAGAATAGCTTAACACTTTATACGTGCAAGTCGTTGGTGTCAAAATCACGCATCAACAATGGCATAATCTACTTTTGTATGATTTGGACAATACTAATTAAATAAATGTATATTTATTAGGGTATTTTGGGAATTGAATTTGAGACATCAACATTCTCAAATTCATATTATATAAAATCCAAGGGTGCGTTTGTTTTGTTATTTTGGATAGGATTTTGTGAATAATATTTGGTAGTTGAATAGGGTGAGTATTACGAGGTAAAATTTAAAAATTAACCAAAAAAAAAAAAAATACCCTAGGTTTGCTAAATTTAACTAAACACCCCAATATATAAAATTTTTGTACAATGACAAAAACACCTCCACCCACCTATAGTGCCAGATTCCGGCCACCACCGTCGAAATCTGGCCGAAAAATGGTGTTAGGACGCAGATCGATAGAATCTGACCGGTCATGCGTTGATATGGCATTTTTCGGCCAAATCTTGCCATCGACGGTCGCAAAGTGCCAAATTTGGTCATCAACGACGGCCAAAGATATGGTTGTCATTGTCTGTCAACGATGGCCAAGATTTGGTTGTCGTTGACCATCAACAATGGCCAAGATTTGGCAGTCGTTGACCATCAACGACGACCATTTCTTTGGCTGTCGCTGACGGCTATATCTGGCCTTTTCTGGCCAGATCGGTGAATTACCAGCCAATTCCGGTCGTTTCTATGCCGTTGTGACAGATTCCGGTAACCACCGACGGTGGTTGCCGGAATCTGGCAACCATGGGTGGGTGGGGGTGTTTTTGTTAATTTTTAAACTTTTTTTCTAGGGTTGTTTAATTAAATTAATAAACTTAAAGGGGTCTAAAAGGACGGTGGTTACCGAAATCTGGCAACCATGGGTGGGTGGGGGTGTTTTTGTTAATTTTTAAACTTTTTTTCAAGGGGTGTTTAATTAAATTAATAAACTTAAAGGGGTCTAAAAGTAATTAAAAAAATAGAATATTATTTCCCAAATAATTAAACAAATAAATATTTTGGAAATAAGATAGAGAATAGAGTATGAAATATTAAAACAAACGACACCCCAAATTATTCAACTTGACTATCTCGTGATCATTCTTTGTCTTACAAAACAAAAGTGTCATTTACTTATATTTTATATATTAAAATAAGAATAATATTGCTCTTACTCTATGAGATTTATGAAATAACAACAATCTTCTTGTCATTAATGAATCGTTAAAATTTATCTTATTATGGTTAGTGAATATACTAAATTGTCCTCCTATTATTTATTTTAACACTTAAAACTTAATAGCATTAGGGGGTGAAAACTAAGCCAAGTCGCTCGCCAGTGGCTTGAGCTCGGCTCGGCATGGCATTGGCTCGAGCTTGACTCAGCCTTGGCTCGGGCTTGACTCAACAATAGTCGAGTTGAGCTTGAGCTCGAATAACTCGAATATTAATTCGAGTGGAGTTCGATCACTATACAACTCGACTCGAAAAACTCAAATAAGCTTGAAAAGTTTGATTAAGCTTGATTAAAACTCAATTATATGAGTTCGGATTCGAACTCAAATTCTAATTCCAAGTTTGAGTTCAAACTCAATTCCTCATACTCGATCAGGCTCGAATTTGAACTCAAATTCGGTACTGTATCAATCAACTCAAGTTCGAGTAGCCAAATACTCGGCTCAAATTCACCCCTAAAAGGCATATAGATTTTTGTTTTTTTGGGAACCTCTGGGGGATTCATGTTATTAACCCTTGGAGATATAAAAATTGGGATGGATATGCTTTTAGACAAGCAGCATTACTCATTTGGAATTCCAAATATGAAGATCAATATAAGAGAGAAAGAAGATAGAGGCTAATATTGGAATAAATTTTGTATTTAATTTCATTTGATAATTTAATTTAGGGAAAGGTTAAGAGCCCTATTTTTTTGACACAATTTTTCAACAACTAGATTAATGCATTTGAATAATTAGGATTGAATCAGAATTATGTCATTTTCAAAGTGCATAAAATGTGTAAGTTATATCAATGTTTTAATAATCAACTCCCGGGTTGACCGGTTTAACCGGTGATAAAACTTTAAAATTCAGCAAATACACCCCAAAAAATACCAGTAAGTATTTATAGATTTGAAATTTAGTAAACATACCCTAAGTACAAATCAGCCGACAACTGGTTGGCGGCAACAACACCCCAAATGCAATCTCAACTGTCTCTTAAGCCCATTCCCTAGAAAATTTATCTAAGATCTGACTGAAATCGGTTCGATTTAGACCAAATCTCACCGACATCGGCATCGACATTCCAAGCCATATCTCATCGACATCGGCATCGACAACCCCTCCACAACCCCGAAAATACTCTCCTCTTCCTTTCGACCAAAACCCACCTTATCCCACGCTTGTTAGCCTTGCCAATCGTCAACAAAAGCCAACTGTTGCCGCAATCAGTTTTTTTTCGATCTCTAGTCGATTCACTCACCATAAATCAACTTTGTTGCCACCATTATACTCACTGACACTTTCTCTTCAAAAGCTCAAACATCTCGACCTTCAATTGTTTGCCGATTATCATCCCAAATTCTAGGGTTTTTTACGAATAGAGAAAATGTTAACCTAGCCCAGTGAAGCTCCCGGGTCCCGGTTAAACGGCCAGGCCGAACGGGGTTTTAAAACAATGAGTTGTATTAAATCTTAACCATCCAAAGTGTTTAAATCTAATGGCTTAAAAATTGTGTAATAATTTGTGTACAAAATGTATACTCTTCAACCTCCACTTTAATTTAAGGGATATTAAAAGTTAACTGCAAATTGTGGGGGTTAAATAAAAAATAACCAACATTCCAATATATAAACCATATTTATTAACAAACTCACGAATGTGTTCTTTTATTGATTTTGTATATTCATATTTTTAAAAAATATTGAAAATATTAAAAAATATGAAATTTAAAAATATATTTGGTGTCTATGTTTGTAAATACAAACATATATATATATATTGTTTAGAAGAAAGAAAGAAAAAAAAATATTTTATTAAATTTAACTTTGAATTTAAAAAAGTGTAATCACATGTCCTTTTTAAAATTTTTGGGTTGGGTTTCTTTCAAGACCGAAACAAACATGGATTTTGCGAATCTCAAAGCCCAAAAAATTAAAAGAAAATGTTGAGTCTGTAAACAAGCAGCCCGGTTATTTCAAGCAATATTCTGAAAACTTGATCTGGGCCTTTATCCGATCAAGGGCCGACGACTTTAGTTTTATAAATTTTTTTAAAATTTTGCAAATTGGACTTTTAAATTCTAGTATATTATAAAATATCCCTAAAAAAATTCCAATTAGTCCCAAAAAATTTAATATAATTCAAAAATGCCTAAAAATTAATTAGTCCCTAAAGTTTTGAAATATTACAAAAAACCCTAGAAAATTGCAATATGTTTAAAATATGGCAAATACCGCCTAGAACCTCAACTGGACCAGAGAGGCTGCCCGTTTCCAATCCGACCAACTGGTCCGGTCCGATTTTCAGAACCTTGATTTGAAGTATTTTTTTTGTTTAGTTAAGTGTTTAGGTTGGCTTGAATGTTGTTAATAAGTGGGTTTTTGATGGCAAATCCTGATTATTAGATGTTTAGTTATGTTGGAAAAGGTTGAAGTGTTAATGTGTATCAAGGATTATTGTTTTTTGTTTTTTTTTTTTTTTTTAATATATTACTAAAGGTGTACGAGCTAGTTTATACGCATTTCAATTAATCCTCTAAGGACCTCAAACTTAAAAATTCATAAAACCTCTTTTTGTTATTTTATCATCAAACAACCCAATGGTGGTTGATTATTGTTTTTGATAGTATATTTGTACATTGTTTGTCACATAAGACATTACATAAACATATGTGGTAGAATTATAATAGTTACTATTATTGCATGAAAAAATGTTACAATGACCATTCATTTTGAGGAGTTTGTTGTATTCTATTTGTTATTAGAGAGGTGTAACTTTGTTTGACAAACACCACAACACAGACTGCATAAAAAGGTTTCAATGAGATCAAAATTCAAATAACAACACTGCTTATTCGACCATACTATAATAAAGGGCTTCAAATTGGAAGCGGCCCAGCCTGAATAAAACGCTGCGTTTCAATTTCAATTGGTTTAAGGAAATTAAAAAAACAAAAAATCGATTCAGGAACCAGATCGAAACCGAGCAAGAAAATAAAAGAGCACTCACTCCTCTCTATGCTCCGCTCTGCTAATTGGATCTCCCATTTCTGAGTGCAAAACTATTCACTCTGATCTTTAGCCAGGTATACTTTACTCTTTCGGTCTTTCCGATTATTTATTATCCATTTACTTTACAACCCCAAGAGATTTTCATTGAATCTCTTTGCCTCTGATTACATTTTTCCACTATTTCTGCGAAAAGCTTGTTTGGTTAGGACGATGAATTTTCTGCTGCGCTCTACAACGACGACGCAACATGCAGTGCCAGAGCAGGAATCTCCCGCAGCCACGAGCTTTTTACCGAAACCTTCTACAACCTTGGAAGGTCTTATCGCTGAGGATCCGTACCCGCGGTATTCAGCGGTTGATGATCGTGATGGAGAGACCGAAAGTGCTGGAGATGAAAATGGCGGCGGCATTGAGGGTTCTAGTGAGAAGAATGACTCTCCTGCTGTAGAGAACTACACCGATGTTTCTGAAGAAGAAGGATGGATCACCATTCCTTACAGTACTATCTCTTAATCACAGTTTGCTTGTTTTTAGTTTTTGATCGATTTATTTAGTATTATAATTTAGCGTTACCTTGGTGTTGGTATTTTATGTAGTTAAGCTAGAATTTAGTTCTTAGTCTCCATAGAGTCAAGCATATGCTAAAGTTTGTAGTTGTGTAAATGATGGTTGAAATTTTAGAAATCAACAGCTATTAAGGGAGCTTTGAATTGAAAGTTGTCGTATGACCACATTGTCATTGTAAATATAAACATAATCTTTTTTGTCTTTATAATTAAAAATAGATTAATAATTTAATTTTCTGGTAAGTGCTCATCCTTCTTTATTCAAAAGCCGGGAAGTTAGAGATGCCGCTTATGTGGTTACCCTTTTTAGATACTTACTATTATGTGTTAGAGACATGCAGGAATTTAGATATATATTATGAATGAAACTGTAGAAAAACTCAGATAGATGTTATGACATGATTTTGACTAATTTATGATAAAAAATAAATGTTTGTATGCTCAGGAAACGTTAATGTATAACCACAGAGTATACAGTAATTTGATATGAATTAGAGGTAAAAATATATATACACTAATATATTTTCATATTCCATGTGCCTTGTTTCTTTTTTTTTTTTTTTTCCTTTTTTTAACAATTGTCTTTTTGATTTATCTCTTTTCATACTAATTGTATGGTGCATCAATATCCATGTTTGATCCTTTTGTACATTTTTTAGTATAATATTAAAACAGTCTTCAAGAATAAGTTTCCTTGAAGTTTTTCCTCAGTTTAGGAATATTACATGCTGACTGTATATTTCTTTACCTTTGATATGATTTTCTCTTCTATTATATCTAATGGTTGATATGCTATTGTAGAGGAACTCCCTGATAACTGGTACGATGCACCAGATATACATTCATTATGCTCACTGGACCGCTCCTTTGTTTTTCCCGGTACCCAAATCTTTCCTGAAGCCGTGGATTTTTTCGGTTTTGGAATGCATAATTTCCCCATGTCAGAAATTGTGTTTATTTTATGATACCTGAACTGTTTTGCTATTTCAGGCGAACAGGTACATGTCCTGGCATGCTTGTCAGCATGTAAGCAGGATACAGAAATTATTACACCATTTAAAGTTGCTGCTGTGATGAGTAGAAGTAGAGGACAAAGCCCTGAGAAAAAAAATGGAAACTATGAAGACAAAATGACTTCAGTGGCTGGAGATAGGGAAGTGAGTCCTGATAGGCAAGTTACAGATCAGAATGGTGAAAACTCAGCAGAAGAGAAGATGGATTTAAAAAAAGATATTTCAGCAAGTGAATCATTGCTTAGAATGGAAGATCACAAAAGACAAACTGAAACATTGTTGCAAAAATTCAAGGACTCCCATTTTTTTGTTAGAATTGCAGAGTCAGGTGAGTCACTTTGGTCAAAGAAGAGTTATCCTGAGATATCTTCTGAATTCCCTGAGACAGATGGTCAAAAGTCTGGTGCCAGTGGAACCAAAAAAGCTACAAGAAACATATCTCGTGTTAGTGCAGTTATTGATAGAGGAAATTTTGATGCCAATGTCTCTGGTGGAGTGGCAAGAAATTCGGTGAAGTGCTGCTCACTTTCTAATGGGGACTTAGTGGTATGTGACAACTTATATGTTGTTCTTGATTATTTTGTTTATTCTGCTTCTATTTCTAGTGAGAGTGCAGACCAATGCTTTGCACTATTAATTTGTGTCTATAGATTGCAATGTAGATTTAGGATTTTTTGCTTCTGTTTTTACATGCTTTAAACATGCTAACGTGGCATCTGGAAGTCGGATGATACTGCAGTTTATACTAGAAATTTCTGTTTGATATGCTTTGTTGAGATCTATGACAATAAGTTTGGTATTGAAGCTTAACTGAGTTGAGTAGTTCTATCTGGTATGTTGAATGTGCTACGGTGGTCCTGATAAACATTTGTTCTGTTTAGTTATTTCTGCATTTTGAAGTCAGCTACTTGCTTTAAAGTTGGAGAATTTAATTGAACTATCATGTTGGTTAAGTTGCTATTATTATTATTTGCACTTTTTAGCTGGCTCGGTAATATGGTTTTTCCATGTTTCTTTTCCAAGAAGTTGAAGTTCTGAATATTTGTTGGTCATCCAATTCAACTCATTTCTGGGTTAATGTGTTGTTCAGACTAATGATTGTCTCTCCATTTAATTGTTTGGAAGGATGCAGGTGCTTTTACAAGTGAATGTTGGTGTTGATTTCTTGAGAGACCCTGTCATTGAAATTCTTCAATTTGAGAAATATAAGGAAAGAAACCTGTATTCTGAGAACCAGGACAATTTAATGAATGCAAATCATGATCCATGTGGAGAATTATTAAAATGGTTGCTTCCATTGGATAACACTGTTCCTCCTCCTGCTCGTTCTTTATCTCCTCCTGCTATGAGTCCTGCTACAGGAATTGGCAGCACTCATCCCAAGTCTGCCTCTTCTGGCTCTCAGCTCTTCTCCCATTTTAGAAGTTATTCTATGTCATCACTTCCTCAAAATACCACACCTCCTTCTGTACCTGTTAAAGCCCAAAGTTCTAAGCCATCCTTTGATCTTGATGATTGGGATCAATTCTCATCTCAGAAACTGTTTAAGGGTCAAAGAAATAAAACTGAAGGGCTTTTATCTTTTCGGGGTGTATCAGTGGAGCGAGAAAGATTTTCTGTTCGTTGTGGACTGGAAGGCATATATGTTCCAGGAAGAAGGTGGAGGAGGAAACTTGAAATAATTCAACCCGTTGAAATTCATTCTTTTGCTGCTGACTGCAATACAGATGACCTTCTTTGTGTTCAGATAAAGGTAATTATTGTGATTATATCTAGTCATATGACAATAACTCTTATTTTCCAATGAAAAGTATGTGAAGTATTTAGATAGCTATGCGGATTTGCTTCTTAGGTCCTGCATTCAATTTTTTTGGCCAAACTTTCCCTAAGATTTTACAAGTTATTTTGCAGAATGTTTCTCCTGCACATACACCAGATATTGTGGTATATATAGATGCTATAACAATTGTGTTTGAGGAGGCGTCAAAAGGTGGACCAACTTCATCATTGCCGATTGCATGTATTGAAGCTGGAAATGACCACTGCTTGCCAAATTTATCACTCAGGTTGTTTTCCTCTCCAATAGCTTAAATTAATTTCAGTCATTAGTCTACTCTTTACTTTACTTTGCTTATTTCAGTATTGCAATACTTGATGGCTATTGATATACTAGTGGAAAGACAAAATGTTGTATGGAAGTAATGCCTTATTTGTGTAGGCAATCCCAGGTAGTTGGAGTAAGGTGAAAACTCATTAATGTATATCTGTGTTCAGTTGGGGCAATGCATTTGTTACATGCCTGAGAAACTATGAATTTTACTCCTATCCTTTGCTTTTAAATTATTTATAGAGCAGAGAGTTACTGTAATGTGCTTATCAATGTTAATTCTTGTACTTTTTAACTTCAGCATGTCTAACGAGTTGGCAGGAACTTGTATTCAATCTGCTGCGAGACGATTCAGATTAAATTTATAGCAATAGTTGGTTTGAAAGTATTTTGATTGTCTCAAATATAATGTTGTAAGCATGCTTTAAATATTTATAATTAGGTATGCACAAGCCAATGGCAAGTTGAGAAAGCCAAGTTGTGCCTCCATCCATTAGAGAAACCCTCTTGAAGCCACTTCTCTCTTCTAGTTAGTCATAATAATAGTAAAGTAGATATCAGAGAAGAAGGACCTTAAGCAATATCTTTTGCCAAAGTTTCTCTTTATCCTGAAGAGGAGGAGAAGAGGAAAAGAAAAAGAGGTGGTCTGGAGGAGTGAATGGTGCTTGATAACTGGAATGGTTAGATGTAATAGTATTATGAAATTCTATCTCATATTCGTAAACTATTATCCGCCAATTAGTTGGCTCATCCATGTGTCAAATGAGTTAAGCCAAAAGATGCTATACACTGCCATGACGATATGGTTGCCGGGCAGTTACACCATCTAATATGAACCCCCTTGCTAATTTTCAAGTTGCATTGACAGATGTGTTAAGATTTGCCTACCCCAGTTTTTATGTGCTCACAAATCTTATAACAAGCGATGTATAGCATGCCGATGTCCATTGAAATGTTAAAATCAGGTTTGCCAATATTGTTGATTGTTCTCATACATTGATCAGATTTTATGTAAGCACATAATGTATACATAAGGAGGGTTAGAAGATTTCACTTTTATCAAAGAGTGCTATGGTTCTATGCTAGTTGAAGAAATGTTTGTTCAGGTTTTGGATTCACTGACTCCTGTTCCATGAGCTTATTGAAGATTTTTCCATCTCAGGAGGGGTGAAGAACACTCTTTTATTCTAAAACCAGCATCTTCAATGTGTACGGATCGGAAAGCTTATGGTGAAAGAAGTTCTCGATCGTCGAGTTTGCACCTTCCTTCCAATACTTTTGAAGGAAAGAGGAGTGCTTCAAGTGCTGATCAGTATGCAATTATGGTATCTTGTCGGTGCAACTATACTGGTATATTAAGTTTCTTACTTTATAATATCATCTGACATTTTTTAACTTGTTAGTTGTTCTGAATTCTCACCATTTTATGTCGAATATAGAGTCAAGATTGTTTTTCAAGCAACCAACAACATGGCGACCACGCATCTCAAGGGATCTCATGATCTCTGTTGCATCTGAAATGTCAAGACAATCTTCTGGGCCGAATGATGGAATCACACAGCTTCCAGTCCAGGTTTTTGTACCCTCTCTCTCTCTCTCTCTCTCTCTCTCTCTCTGAGGTAGTCGTTTTTCATCTAACTGGTTCAAATTTTCAGGTCTTAACTCTTCAGGCATCAAATTTGACATCCAAAGATCTGACTTTGACAGTTCTTGCTCCAACCTCATTTACTTCTCCTCCTACCGTGGTGTCCTTGAATTCTACACCATCATCACCTTTGAGCCCCTTTGTTGGATTTTCTGAGTTTGCAGGAAAAGTAAATGATGACCGACGCGGTAATGCACTACAGAAGCTGAGCTCTGTACCTCTAGTATCAGAGAATCAGAAGCAGAATGGTGATGGTGGAGTTCAGTCTGTTTTGTTTAACAAGCAGTCTTCTCCTGTATCGGATGTCATACCGAGTACTGGTTTGGGTTGTACACATCTGTGGTTGCAGAGTAGAGTTCCATTAGGGTAATTCACCACTTTCTTCTCCTTCATCTGACTTTGTTATTGCACAAGTTATTAAGATTTACTGGGGTTTGCATCAGATGCGTTCCTTCTCATTCTACGGCTACAATCAAGCTTGAGCTGCTTCCATTGACTGATGGCATAATTACACTTGATACCCTACAGATTGATGTTAAGGAGAAAGGTACTTATCTTCTTATTTCCATTCTTTTGCTCTTTTGCCAACTTGCTTGAACTGTTATCAGAAGGAATGTGTTATCAGTGCCTTAAATGCAACCCAATGCCTCACATTACTTCTGTGGATTTAATGAGAATTGATAAATTGATGATGGGAACATAGTATATTATTTATACCATGGTCATTGTTGCACAAAATTTATTTATGCAGCTTTGCTTGAACATTGACTTTTAGTAGGTTAGTGTTTCACACTTAGATTGTGACATTCCTATGTAATTTTTAGTTATATTTTTTGTTAAATTGTCCACCTCATCTATGAAGGAAAGCACACACAGGTTCTGTCCTATTTTCGATTGAATCCACCAAAGTAAATAGATGCATTAGTTTTGCCCGTTAACCTCAATTGTTAGTGCAAAGAAGCCAATCTTTAAAACAAATGTTTTTACGCGAAATCCCTTTCTGGTATAATCAGGTGTTGCTTATATCCCAGAGCAGTCACTGAAGATTAATGCGACTTGCAGCATCTCCACAGGGATAATTTAGGATGTATGTATTGGAAGTTGTGTTTCCTATAACATTTTTATACACAAAACACAGGAAAGAAATAGGAAGAGCTATCGTCCAGCATTTTTAGCGGCAAGGTATATATGGTTTCCCTGCTCAAGTAGCAGGAACTGTGATGTTGATTTGTTTGAAAAAGTAAAATAGCCTCGTATCATTGTCATGTGTTTGTAAACAATGATCCTGTGAACCACATTTGTTATATACCATTTAGTGGAAAAAAAAAAAAAATGTGCACGTTTTGTAGATGAATCTGATGTTGTGAATTGTACCCAATACTGCTAATTTACAGCAGAGAGAAGTGACAATAATTTGTTGTTTGGTGGGACGGTCTGACCCACATTGAGTTTGTGGAAAATTGCTAGATTTTAATTCTTATTATGGTTCGAGGTTGTAATGGTTTCATCTGTAAAATTATGTGCATCTTGTACTTCAACTCTTAATATTCGTTTAAATTAATTTACTCCAGTGTCCAATGAAATAAAACTTTTATTAACGTGATATTCATCATAAAAACTTACCTCTTTGACTGTGATTCTATAAATAAGTCAATCTGGGAATGGGATTATTCAATCTATGGTACTGGAACTGGAAGGGCTAGTTTTTATTATGTAATTCGCTATTGTTGTGTAACTCATTATATCTCCTCACCAAACAATTTTATTCCTTAGAAATAGAGAGATTCTTTGACTATAAAAATTCCAATATTTTAGAGTTGGACAAAATTATTCCAAGTGTTGGGCAGTGGTAAGCAATTAGGCAGGCCCCTCTGAATAAGGAATGGGACATGTTGAGAAAGTTAGGAGGCAATGTAGAAGATGATTGCTGAGTCATTTCAAGTAAACGGCACGAATTTTAACCTGCTAACACCACAAACACTTGTATAATCTACCTCTCTCCTGAATTAGGTTTGAAATAAAGTTTCAAAATCACCAACCCTAATTTAATTAAAAATTCTCAACTTTAACACACCCCCTTTTCTGGGTACCTTTTATTTTCCTAAATAAATAAATAAAAAATTCACCTTCATAAGATTGAAAGAAATAAATCCCAGGAAAAGTTGTGAAGAAGTGAAACAGACTTGGGATGAAAACAAGTCTACCTTAGCTGGCAAGTTTGATTTTGGGGAGTGTTTGTACAAGCACATTTTTAGTACAGTATTTAAAATTTTATAATGAAAACCTTAATAAAAACATTTATACTCGAAGATATGATATCCATAAGAAGATGAGCCTTATTCATCATTGTAATAATAATCCTGATGAGTAAAATCTTCTAAAAATAAGAGAATGATCTTAAAGATAGCTACACCTATGTCTATTTTATTAAATAAATTAAAATTTTATTAATTTAGTTAGTGTGAAAAGTGGGCATACCGCATACCTCTTAAACAATTACTTCTTCATCTTATCCTATGAATTTATATTATTATTATTATCTTTTTGGTAATCAGACCAGTTTATGCGTACTTTAATTAATACTCGGGGTTTATTAAATACACTATAAACCCCAAAAGATTAGGTAAATACAATGTTATTGTAATAAGTAACCTCAAGGTTTGAACGTAGGAACTTAAGTAAGAGAGCAAACCTTCTTGACCGTTAGACTAATCTCTTAGGGTTTATAAATATTTATTTCTCTAACACATATTATCTTTTCATTTTTTTTTAATATTTACTAATGCATATGTCTCTTAATTTCAAAGTTGACGTTATTAATCATGGTATAAACAAAGAAATAAAATAAAATAAAAACAAATTGAAAGGGTTTCTTATGTATATATATATATAATTTTATTTAGAGAGTTTTAATATATAATTTTTTATCAAAAGAAAATAAAACTTGTGATCTTATTACTAACTCAAACTGTGACCTTGTCTTTCCTATTATGACTTTGATCATTTTCTTTATAATATTTTAATATTACAACAATGCTCGTTACTCTTTCTTTTCAAAATCTCTTTAAATTTATGTCAAACATAATATGAAGATAATTAATTATCCATAAACTTTAAATATTTATGCACCTTAAAATTCAAATATTAATTTACCATGTACCCAATACAATAATACAAGCAACTTCAATTTATAATTATATATTTAATAATATTAAATTATAGCTAATTTTATTTGTTAATAAACTGGCTTTATAGAGGAGGTCAAAAGTGTACTAAAAACCTCAAAGAGAGGTTCTCATTAATGTAGACTCTATCAATCTATAAAATAAATATAAATATTCATAATTAAATCATTTCAATACAGAGAAGATGCATGCATAGTAGCGTGAGCTCAACATGACGCGCGCGTGGGCGTCTGCGGCTACTCACACGTCACCATCTAAGTGGGTCCCCTTGAATTCTCTCTCCTGCCCGAGCTACCATTGTTTTCCACTCTCAACTCTGCCCGAGCTGCCCGTTTCTCTCCTTTTCGTCTTTTTCAATGTGCAACCCCAACAGCCTTTCGCTATATATCTCTGTACGGTCGGTCAGTTCTCACGGGCACCCCGGGCAGCCAAATCGCCCCGCTGCCCGCTTTCTCCGGGCAGCCCATTTTGCTTTTTCCGGTCTTCGATTCTATTAAAATTTAATTTAAAAAAAAAAAAAGAGAATCGATAATAAAGTTTATGTATTTGATATTTTTGCCATTTTGTTTTTATTAGTTTTTTTTTTTTCTTTTGCTGTAACAGTCACTTATTTCAAGTATTTTGGAGAGAGATTTCTTGTACCTTATAGCAAACACATTTTGTGGTTTAGCTAAGAGTTTTCTTTTTCTTTTTCTTTTTAAAAATTATTAATTAATTATTTTGTTTTGTCAAGTTTGTTAAACTAAAGTACTTTAGTTTTGAGTTTGGAAAGTCGATCAATCTTTGGTTACTGTTTATGATCTGGTTCATGTGATCTATTTCGTTCTCAACTGAGCTGGTTGTTTTCGTCTTTTATGACCTGGTCTAGGGGCCTCTTAAAATGAAAAGTTGTGAAATTTTGAAACTCTTTTGGTGGGTAGAGGAAGAAGTGATTTTGCGGGGTTTGATGAGTTTGGGTCAGTGATTTTAGGTTTTGTTGAGGAGTAGAATGGGGTTTGATGGTGCAAATGGGAAGGTGAAGAGTTCTTCTGGATGTGTGCAAATCAAGGGAAGGAAGAAGAGAGAGAAGGGTTGAAGATGAAGTAAGGCTGGAGAACGACTGGTTGGCTCAAGTTAGGTTTATTGGAAGCTGCATTTCTTCAAGATCCAAAGTTGATAGCTCTGTTAGTGGCACCAGTACTCATTGTGGTAATTCTTGCTTTACTTGGACCTTCTTTTTTCTATTTCAGGTTTTCCTGGTAATTTTTAGGTGTTTTGTTGGTTTTTCCTGAGGGTGTTTATCATTTTTTGTTAGATTATCTACACACACACACGATTTTGCTTACTTGTGTTTTTAGTTTTTTACTGTTTGTTGATGTTATGATCTTATCGATGTGAATTCGTTTTGGGAGTCTATTACATTTCCAAGCTGTAATTGAGTAAACGCAACCAAAATGCCAGGGGAAGTGGGAACTAGTAAGGTTAACTGGTATAGTTTGCTAGTTAAACTACTTCTTGATGTTTATGAAGACATGGAGTTTCTTAGATTTGAAAAGAAATTTAAATTAAAAAAAAAAAAAAAAAAATTCAAGCTGAATTTTCTTTTCCTCAATCGTTGGACTATTTCACAATTGCATGGGAGTTTCTTTCAAAAGAGCCTTCCTAGAACTTTTTCCTACAGATGATTCCTGAGTTTGGGAAACCATTTTTTGGATTCCTAGCGAAGCGGTACATAATTATGTTGGAGATAATATTCGAATTTTTACCTCTATTTCTCTGTCTATTTTTTCTTTGTTTACCATTTTATTGGATCTTCTGTTGTGAAAACTGAATCATATCCCTTGGAGTAATTGCAAACATCAGTCATGTAGCTTAGTATTTCAGCTCACAAGTCACTCACCAAAAGACTCGGTCAGTGCTGGAAGAATTTAACTTAGAAGTGAAAAAAGAATATGTGCAGTTGTATTTGCTAATATGTCTCTACTCTAAATCGTTTGCACTGGATGGATAATCTACAGGAATGGAAATATCATATTATCCTTCATTGAAAAATTAACTGGTTAATTCAAGCTGATCAGGCTTCAGTTTTCAAGGAAATATAATTTGGAAATTGGGGCTCAACCTTTGACCACCCCTTTTTGCATCAGTATATTTGGTTTACACCGATTTCTTCTGGACTATTAATATTGATGGGTATGACAGTTGACAACTAAGAACATCTGACTTGCATTTGCTTTCGGTAGTATATTGGAGTATTGCTGGTGGTAATCCTTGGCTGTATGATTTAATTGGATGCCATATTTCTAAAGCCAGATAACTTGCTAAATGTTGTGGCAATAGTTGAGCTGATATGTTTCAGTTTCAGTAGCTGGATTAGTAGGGTTAACTTGTTGGTATTGACAGCATTGGATATAGTTGCAATAGCAATGCATTTCTGCGAGCATGTTTTGCATCAAATTCAATGTTACTAATTTCTGTCAACTATCAGAATATGTTTGCATTTCACGATTATGTCCTTCAAATATTTTCTGTTTTATAAATTTCTCAGTTTCTGCATAAATATTTCTGAACTATCTCATGGGCTAAAGTTGACTGAACCTGTGAAATTTACGCTACTCACTTCATTCTGTGGGAGAGATAGTGGGGATGCAATATGAAACTTCCTAAGGTGGTGAAGGTGGTGGTAACATATTGGATTTGTGAGAACCTGCATCTCAAAAAATAAGAATAAGGTAATCATGCAGTGAATAGATTTTGTTTGGTTTGAAATACGCTTGAGTGAGGCAGTTTTACTAATTATAAGTTAAATCATAAAGCAAGAGCATATTATGGTTTGGAGAGTTCTGGATTGCTTTTCTGAATATGTAACTTACACGCGCGCACACACACACACACACACACACACACACAGATATATATATTCTTTCCCAATCTAGCCTGGGTCTAGGCCTGATTAGGCCCAATCACATATGGGCTTAGGATCGATCCTAGGCCCATGAAAAATTTCAAGGCCCGGGACCCGTCCCTAAGACCTGTCCTAGGCCCATAGGATGGATTGGTCCTAGAAAAATCCATCACCCCCCCCCCCCCCGCCAAAACCAACTCTTTTTATATTTAAGGCTAAATAAAATTAAGTAGGGGTGTTTTTGTAATTTTTAGGGGGAGATTAGTAATTTTTTAATTAATTTTAAAAACAAGAAATTAATTAAGGGTTAATTATGGTTAATAATAATTTATAAATATAGAGTGTTTTAAATCTAAACTTTAAAAAGATAATTTAATTAATTAATTTTAATGTAAATGTAATATTCACACTTTACAAATAAATAATTAAATAATTTTTTTTAATTAAATTATTCATTTATATCGTCAATAATATTTACATCGTTTAAATTTGTGTTCTTGGA